AATTCAATAAAAAAAATTATTAATTTAATTTAAAAATTAATATATATAATTTACATAAATAAAATTTTAAATTTAACAATTAATTTTTAAAAATATTAATTAAAAATTTTTTTTGAACAAATCTTTCAAAAATTAAAAAAGGGGACGAACTACTCTTTTCTTTTAGAAAGGGTAATTAGTGTATTTTATCATGTGCCAGGGACTATAAAGGTAAAGACTTTACCAACGATCTGTTGGACCGAGTGAAAGGAGCTCGGTTCCCCTTAAATAAAGTCTCCAGTTTGAGTCTTGTAAATGGAGAAACAGGCGCTGGGAGAGCTTCCACCTAATGAGGACGCGGCTCAATTTCAAATTAGTCGGGATCCAAAGTGTTTACCGAACACTAGGAGGTTAGTACAAAAAAAATAATAATAAAGGTAAAGACTTCGAATTAGAAGGGCCTGCTTGGATAAGATAACGAATTACAGTTTCTCTTCTCCCCTCTGTGTTCATCTCCTCTGTTTCCTCCTCTCCATATCCTTCTTCTATTTCTTTCTCCTTCTTTCTTCTCTAAATTATTGTTTCTTCTTCTACAATTCTCAATTCTGAATTGGGGAAATGATTCTTGGATTGGGATTACATGTTTGTTGTCAATAGATTTCTTCATTGTATCTCTTTAATTAACGAGTTCATTAGGTCTTGAATTGGTGTACCTCGGCACGTGAGAATGAGATTGGTATACGTGAGAATGAGATTGGAAATGAAATTGGCTAAACTGTAGCATCCGGCGAATACCTTGGCACGTGAGAATGAGATTGGATATGAAATTGGCTAAAGTGTTGCATTTGGCAACACCTTGGCACGTGAGAATGAGATTGGAAATGAAATTGGCTGTAGTGTTGCATTCGGCAACACCTTGGCACGTGAGAATGAGAGTGGTGTACGTGAGAATGAGATTAAATATGAAATTGGCTAAAGTGTTGCATTGGCAACACCTTGGCACGTGAGAGTGAAATTGCCTGAGGTGTTGCATTGGTACGTGAGGGAAAGAAAAGTGGGAATATGAAATTGTCCAAGGCGTAAGGACCTAAGGTACGTGTGGGAGGAAAATGAAATTGCCTAAGGTGTTGCATTGGCACGTGAGGGAAAGAAAGGAGGGAAAGGAATTGGCAAGGTGAGGGACCTCAGGTCAAAGTTGATTACCATGAGTTCTTAAAAATTTAGATTAAAGTTATTAATAATAATTAATTTTTATATTTATATATCAAATTTACTCACAAAATTTTTATACGTGGAATTTAAAACATTATATTTTTTTTAAAAAAGAGGTTAAGATTTTCACAGTCATGAACCACCATCGGGAAGCTTTCTCCTGTAAAGCTAAATTTAACAAATAGTTTCTTAATTATTTCCTTAATTTTTGACTATTTTATTAGTTAACTATTTATTTTTTAATCTAACCAATTTATTGATTTTCAAAATTGTAACAATATATAATCCATTAAAGTTGCCTGTATGGGACTAACGGAAATCTACACTGGCACATATGTGGCAGCCACATAGATGAGCTGTCACATAGGTGCCACGTGGCTAAACAATCAATATTTTAAAAGATAAGCTTTTAATTTTATTCAATTAAGTTTCTAAACAAATTTTACATCCTTTAGGTCTTAGGTTTTTTTTTTTTTTTTCAGTTCCAAATTAATTCTTTTATGAGAATAAGTTTCAAATTTATAAAAAAGAAA